GAACATCTTTTCATTAATCAATTTTTTCTTTAATGATTTTTGTTTTTCGTGTCCTATCTAAAAAATATTTGCTTAATCCAAAGTCACGAGATTTTTCTCCTGTATTTTCTTAAGCAGTATTATAGTTTTAGCTGTTACATTTAGGCATATGATCCATTTCAAGGTTTTTTCCTAGATTGTGTATACTAAGGATCCACTTGTCCTAGCAGTTTTTTTTTTAAAGACTATCCTTTCTGACATTGAATTGACTTTCCAAATTTGTCAAAATTACTGATTTTTATTTTATTTATCACTATTTTATAAAATTAAATGTTATGTAGATAAAATGAACATATATGCATGGATCTAGTCTGGTCTGTCTGTTCAGTTCCATTGATCACTGCATCTGTGCTTAAGCCAGTACAACCCTGTCTGTGATCTGTTGCTTAGAGTCTTGAATGCAGATAGTGTATGTTATCTAACTTTGTTTTTTTCAAAATTCTTTTGGCTATTCTAATTTACTTGCCTTTTGAAACAGCCTGCTTGATTTTGATCAGGATTGTATTGAATCTGTTGATAATTTGGATAGAACCACCATGTTAATAATATTCCAGCATGTTAATAGTCTTCCAATAAACAAACATAGTATATTTCTCCATTTATTTAGGTATTTGATTTCTCTCAACAATGTTCTGTAGTTTTCAGTGTACTTATGTTAGATTTATTCCTAAATATGTCATATTTTTGATGCAATTATAACTATTTTTTATATTGCAATTTCCAGGTGTTCATTGCTGGTTTATAGAAGAGAATTGGTTTTTATATTTTGACCTTACTAATAAACTAACGTATGAGTTCTAGTAGCTTTTTATAGATTTCTTAGAATTTTTTGTGTAAATGACCAAATAATTGGCAGCTAAAGATCGTTTTACTTTTCCTTTTCCAATCCATGTGCCTTTTTTTGATAGGTAATATTATAAAGTGTATTTTTAATAGTTGGTTTAAGTTTCTTGTCTGTTAATTTCTTCATATGTCTTTTCTGGGTATATCTGCTGATTAATTTTTTCCTAGTTGGGAGTAATTTTTCCTTTCTTTATGTCTGGTAATTTTGATGGGATGCTAGACATTGTTATTCTTTCCATTGTTGAGTTCTGAGTTCTTTAATTATATTTATTCCTTTAAAAAGTGTTGGGTTTTGATCTGACACATAATTAATGTGAAATCAGTTTGATCCTTTTGAACTTTGCTTTTAAGCTTTGTTAGGGTAGACCCAACATACCCTTTATCTAGGGCTAACTAAACGCTACTAAGGCACAGCTTTTCTGAGAACCCTATCCAATGCCCCTGTATTGCAGTATCTCTTAACTTTTGCTGGTAGGAACATAAATTCTTCCTACCACTGTGTGTGTGCTCTACTACTTTCCAGTTGTACTTTCTCCAGCCTTTTGCTGTTTCGCCCCATATATTTGCAGATCATTATTCAACCAAAGACTTGGGTAATGTCTTGACGATCCTCCCTGCAAATTGGTAATGTTCTCTCTTTGCAACTCCCTTATCTCTGGTGCTCTGCCCTGCAAATCTTAGCCACTTTGGGCTCCCCAAAATCTTTCTCCTCAATTCATGGAGACTGTTGGACTCTGTTTGGGTTTTCCCACCCTGTGATACACAGCCTGGAAACTCTCAAGGCCATTATCTGAGGCAATGATAGTTCTCATCTCATTTTTCCCCCTTTCAGGGATCACTCCTATATTGTTTATTGTCCAGTGTTTGAAACAGTTGTTTCATGGGTTTTGTCTAGTTTTCTAGTTGTTTATAGTGGGAAGGTACATGGCTGTTTAATCCTTTATGGAAGAAGTAAAAGTTTCTCCCATAATGTGTTTTAATACCACAAGGACAGTGTCACCGATATACAGCAGTAATCAATAAAAGTTCAGTTGAAGGGAGAAAAATACTTAGATTGTGTCAACTTGTATAGGACTCTCTTCTCTGAATATTATTAGAAATTGAATGTGATATCCTTTTTCTACATTATTTAAAAACTCATATTCTCAAAAAAATATTTTAGAAGTCTTTAAATTTATTTTTATTTCTAGAAGAGATTATGAGAAGCAGATGAACCTCTTTATAATTCATAGGTGTAATGGCAACTTTAGAATAAAGAAAGGGTAATAGAAAAACACTTTCAAGGCAACCATAGTTATACACACATATATTAGTCATGTGTCCCTTAGAGTTTGATATGGTAGCTGTCTTCTCAAGAATAGTTACATATCACTTTTTTTTTAATTGGGGGAGAACATTTTCAGTTGATGTCTTCCTTTGAAATATTTTTAAGAATACAGTTTTTCTGGTAGTCACATGAAAAGTTATTTAGATCTATTAGAGTAATTAATTTAAAGTTTTTTTAAAGTCAAGAAAAACCATTAGATTTATACTATTAGTAATCCTTACAATATTTTCCTTGATGTGTTCTACATTGGCTGTTTTATAACCTTTCCCCATTTACCAGTTGGATATTTAATGGGTTTTTTAATTTATGTGGGATTCTTTTACACATTAAAAAAAGTAAATTTGTTACAAATGTTTTTCTCACTGTTGGTTTTCCCTTTTTAGTGAGGTATGCTATTCAGTATAAAGTTTTTCATTTTTATATGGTAAAATTTTTCTCTTTCTAGTTTATTATTTCTAAGCTTAGAAAGTCTAATCCCTCAGAAATTACATAAAAATTTATTGCACTTTCATACCAGTTTTACCTTGATGTGGTGTTTTCTGTATATAATGATTTCTCTGCAGATTATTCTGATCTATTGAGAAGCCCCTTCCAGCTCTCCTTTTCACAGCAATTTTTTTAAAGATTTGTCTGTATTCATGATCTCTCTTTCCTCACATCCAATCTGACCTTTTCTCATCATATTGCATAAAATGATTTCCATTGTGATCACCATGTTGCTAAGCCAAAAGGACGTTAGCCCTTATAAGACCTCAAGGCAGTATTTCACACTGCTGTCAATCACTTTATTCTTTGTAAAAAGTTTTCCCTTGAAAACTGATTTCCACACTTCTAATTTTTCTCCAACTTCTGACCTCTCCTTTGCAGCCTCATGCTTCTCTAATTTAATTATTGAAGTTCCTGACAATTTAAGTCTTTGCCTGTTTTTCTTCTCATTTATACCCTTACCCTAAGCCCCATTGCTCCCATCCATGACCTCAGTTATCATCCAGATAAACTGCTTGCTCCAGACATGGAATTGCCTACTTCACATCTTAACTTGACTATCTTAAAGAACCTCAAGCTCAAAATATGCAAAATAGAGTTTATAATCTAAATATTCCACCACCTCTCCTCCACCTACCATCCCTCCCCAAAAAAACCTAATTTCTGATTCATTTCTTAGAATCCCTCTCTCAGTGAAAAGCTCTATCATCTATGCAGTTCCATAACCCAGATAATTTAGGAGTTTTTCTTCTTGACTACTCTTCCCTCATTCCCTATAACTAATCCAGCACCCCATCCTGTTCATTTTAGCTCCTAAATATAGCTTTGAAACTGTCCGTTTTCTTCACCTCTACCACCAAAACCCCAGTTTAAGCTACCATTATCTCTCATTTCTATTGCTAAAATACTGTCTTAACTAGTCTCCCCTCTTTAACTCTACCTCCTTCCAGATTATTCTAATGCTTGAGCAATATTTTCCAGACATAAATTTAATCATGTTATTCCCTGCTTAAAGCCATTTTTGCCCATCTCATTGTTTTGAAGACAAAAATAAGAATTTTTATTTGACGTAGAACTTTATCTGTCTTTACAGCCTCATTTCATTTTATATTCACTGTCTCTCTACTCTGGGTTCCTTTCAGCGTCTCAAGCTCACTCTGCTGCCCTTGATTTCAGGGACTCTACACATTTCCTTTTTCCTGCAACACCTTTCTTTACCTTCCTCCTAGTTAACTCCCAGGTATCCCTAAGATTCCCTTTTAATCAATTTATTTGAAGAAACCTTCTCTGACTACACAGTGTCAGATACCCCCATAATATGTAACACCATATGCTTGTCTTCACAGCACTTGATTTTTAACTTGTCTCCTATAGAACACTCAGTGCCTGGCACTTAAATGGCCCTCAGAGAATGGTTGAATGAAAAAATTCATGATTATTTTTCAACCTAAATTTTAGAATCATTCAGAGCTTTTAGTGAAACTAAGGTTATTAATTTGGAAAAATGGAGCATACTTTCAAATGTTATTTTTTATTTACTTAAATCTTTTATCACTCTAGTGCATTATATGTTTCTTGTTAAAGTTATTCTAAGTTTTGTTTTATAAGTGGAATCTCTAGTTGGTTAATTGGCACTTATACAAATAATTTGTATTCAGTTATTAGTTTCCTTCACTTTATTTAAAACTTTACTATTAGAAAAGTGTATGTTTCGTATCTAAAATTATCTAAAACTGAAAGATTTTTACGTCGTTTTTTACCTCTCTTGATCATAAGCTATACTTTTGATCATGAAACTGGGAAGGTTCTCTAGATTTTAGTCAAAGAATATTTCTTACTGAGAAGATATCTTCAGGGCAATGCCCCACCCCTTGAGCATTAAAGACACTGATTAACTGGTTTAGGAAAATTTTATATTATAAATAAAATCTACATGAAACATAAGTTATACAGTTCTTTTATATGTCATTTTGTTATTTATTCATCTCTAAACCTTTTAAGGTAGATGATATTATTACTGAAAAAAAAATGAGTCACCAGGACATTAGGAAACTTTTCCATGGTCATTAAAATACTGAGTTCTTAACCAGTGTTATACCCTGGTCCTCATTCTTTAGAGCTCATGCTGTTTCTACTGTATCACATTGCTTCTCATTGTATGTAAAATGCAATCTGGAAGTGCTTAATTGGACTCTTAAGTGAGATATGAGGTAGAAACTTTCCTAGAATATCCATTCTGAGTATTTTTTTAATTTTTATTTTTATATATTACTCATTTAGACAATTATTTAAATTTTTTTTATAGGAACCTCCAGAAGTTTAGCCTTTTTGGAGACATAAGCGTTCTACAACAGCAAGGAAATTTGTCAAATACATACCTCAGCAAGGTGGACCCTGATGGCAAAAAAATTAAGCAGTAAGTTATATAGTTAGAGGAAAGGGTCTTATATAATAATAATTTTTTTTGAGAAATTTAAGATACCATCAGAAGAGTAATGATTATTTTTCTAAAAATAACATATGTCCTGGAAATATCTTAACTATGAAATACAGTGATCATTATATGACATTTTGTGTAGTAAACTTTAAGACAAATCAAAGAATTTTGTGGGTAATTATTGCTTTGTAAAACTTTACTTGCTTTTGCTGTAACATAAATTGTATGTCACCAGTCTTTTCTGCCATACCGGTATAAAGTGCTGGCTTTCTTTGAACATATCTCTGTATGTTTAACATCTCTATAAGTTTGATATATCATATTCATCATATTTTAATGTGAACTTTAATGATATTTATCATAATAATACTTGTGGGTTGGATCAAAATTAACTAATTAGAGAAAATGGATCTCAACATTGCATGCCTTTTTACTGCCTATTTGCAAAAGATGGTTAAAAAAAGATGGAGCTAAATGTTAAGAAGATCATTGTGGCATGTGTTTTCCTTACAGAATTCAGCAGCTGTTTGAAGAAATACTGAGTAATAGTAGGCAATTGAAATGGCTGTCCTGTGGGTTTATGCTGGAAATAGTAACCCCAACATCACTGTCATCTCTCTCAAATTCTGTTGCCAACACTATGGAGCACCTGAGTTTACTGGATAACAATATTCCTGGTAACAGCACCCTTATCACTGCAGTGGAACTAGAGCGATTTGTGAATCTACGCTCACTTGCCCTGGATTTCTGCGACTTTACAGCTGAGATGGCAAGAGTCTTAACCGATAGCAACCATGTGCCTTTGCAGCGACTGTCTCTCCTGGTCCATAATGTTTCCGTGATGCACAAGTCTTTGGACAACATGCCAAATGATGAGCACTGGAAAGCCTTGGCACGAAAGAGCACCAGCCTTCGGGTCTATATAATGGCTTTTGATATCAAGAGTGAAGATATGTTAAAGATTCTGAAGCCCAGTATACCACTAGAGAGGGTTCATTTTGACAGCTACGTCACTTGTGTTTCAGGAGCTATTGTTGATCTTATATCTAGGCAGTATGACAAGTTCCTCACTCATTTTATATTAATGAATGATGTGATTGACACATCTGGATTTCCAGATCTTAGTGACAACCGAAACGAAGATCCGTTGGTTTTACTAGCATGGAGGTGCACAAAGCTCTCTCTTTTGGCAATTCATGGTAGGTGATTTTTGTTCACTACAATTTGATACTAATATTACATCTAAAATGTTTTATGATAATAAAAAGACAGCACTGGTATTTATACTATTAAAAATCTTATAACAGCCTTGGCCAGTGTGGCTTAATTGCTAGGAGCATTATTTCCATAAACCAAAAGGTTGCAGTTTCAATTCCTGGTCAGGCACATGCCTAGGTTGCAGGTTAGGTCTGGTCTGGACATGTACAGGAGACAACCAATGGATGTTTCTTTTTCATATCAATGTCCCGCTCCCTCTCTCCCTCTCTTTCCCTCCCGCCCTCCCTCCCTCCCCTTCTAAAATCAGTAAGTATGTTCTCCAGTGAAAATTTTAAAAAATCTTGCAACAAATTAATATGCAGATTTTTGTACTTTTTAAAGTTTATAAAATATACCAAATGGAAAGTCACATCTCCACCCTAAGTGGTCTGCTCCAAGTTCCCTGTTACTTCTTTCTTTCACCATGTGATGGCATTTTATAAAAATGGCATTTGAAGTTAATTTTTCTAAGAAAGCATACATATTTAACTGTGGTAGAAATATTTCCTCTAATCACAAATGTCTTAAGAAGATAACATGGAAGGAAGAGAAAGTGTGATTTCCTTCATGACCGTTGCCTCAACTTCTAGATTCTAGGTATTAACATTAATTTATACAACATTTTTTTTTAATGGTGGTTCCATTGACTGGGTATATGCTTATTTTATCCTAGGGCCTTTCATCTTAATCTGAACTATTGGGGAGAGAGTTTCTATTCTGACAAATTAGAAGAGTATTTTACTTCCTTTTCCTTTTTTTAATACTTGTAAGACATGTACAGAATGCAAATTAGGAAGTCTCTATGAATATCTTAAAGTGTTTATTAGCTCTGTTTCATTATTTTTGAAATTATTTTTTTAGCCTACATTTGTGTCTTGCTTTTTTTTTTTTTTCAAGTTTTGTTTTGTAATTTAGTCAGCCAGCAAAGACTAGACCAAGTGTGGAAGGTAATAAATAAAATGAGGATTTTGTATCGGATAAAGAAATGTCAAGTTACTCAAAAGTTAATTTAACCCAGTCTTTTAAAAGCTTTTTTTCTTCTTTTAATAAGGTGTTAGATATAGCTTAAGATATATAGCCCTTCCATTAATTCTCCTTTTATTCCTTTCCAAATGTAATTATTATTCTGAAATTAGCATATTACTCCCATGACTGTTTTGTACTTTACGTATTTGCTACTGACAATGAACAATTTATTTTTAAAGTTTAAAGTATCACTTCGTAACTTTGGACTATGAATGACTTTCACTAATGAAAAATACCAGTTTAACTATGTATTGTTAATGGATATGTATTGTTAATGGATACATACTTATAAAATTTGTTCTTAATGATACATCAATATCCAGAGCTATAAAATTATATTTTAAATATATTTGATTTTACTAAATGCGGTGGTTTCAGAGTAGGATTATAGCACCTGCCATTTCACCACGCACGGTAATATTCTTGGAGACAATATCAAACCTGTCCTTTTTCTTTTTCTGGCTAATCATAGTTGCTTCTCAAATCTCAGTATATTTTTAAAAGAAAGTGACCAAAGTGGTAAGTGAGATACAAATTTGTGGGAAAGACTAACTTACATAGACAAAATGCAAGGAAATTACAGTGCTTGTGTTTTGCTTATTTTTAAGGTTACACAGTGTGGGCACACAACCTCATTGCTATTGCTCGTCTTCGTGGCTCTGATCTAAAAGTACTTGAAGTCACTGAAGAAAGCATTGATTTTGACCAAGGTGAACTTGCCGACCAGGATGTGGATCCAGTGCATAACCTTATTGAGCAGGTATCCCTGGGCTTGGGCCAACCTTGGCATGCAGTCATGGACATCGAATCACTCAGTGTCTTCACTGAACCAAATCGTCATTTTTACAGAGAGATGCAAAGCTTCAGCGAAGACATTTAGCTTTTTTTTTTAAATGTACAATTCCTGTGGTTACATAAGCAAGTAGGGTCCCATTATGTTTTTTTTTTTTCCAGTAGTGTGAATTAATCCCTTTGTGCTGTGTTTAATCAGTATTAGCTTCATAGAGTTATATATGTATATTCTTCTTGATCAAAGAACGTACTCGGGTATTGGTTTAGAAGTTCAAAGTGACAATGTATGGGGCTTTCACGGTTAATGAACTTGTTACCAAACCTTAAGGATATACAACCGAAGGTTGTCTGAGGTTGCTGGCTAACTTTGTTTTTCACTGAGTTACTCTGCCTTTTTGATGTTTTTATTCTTTGTGTGTCAGAGTTCAGAACTCAGGAGCCAAAATATTTTTATACATATATAGAAATATATCCATAGCCTGGTAGATTTGTATGCAATGCACTGCATTCACGTATTCTAACAGCATTTCATTAATTTTTATTTGAAGTGGAAGAGAAGAGGATGTCCCAAATGAGTTATCCTTAACAGAAAAACCAAGACTTTAACTTTCATTACATATATAAAATTGATACCAATTACCATTCTGAATTTTGTAGAGTACTAGGTTAGAATATTGCTTAACCCTTTTTTTAAAATGCATTTACATAAACAAAAATTGTTGGATTTTTAAAAACTATATATGACATGATTTTATTTATCAATTACACTACACACAAGTTAGCTTTTAAGCCCAGATTTCAAATAGTGGAGGAAGAAAGAAACTATATTCCAGGGTAAAACCTCCTAAAGGAAATCAAAAGAACAGAATTATAAACACACATGCTTGCAAACAAACATTAGTCGTGAAATCCCTAGCAACAAGTCACTGGATTTTTCTCTGTCAGCACGCATGTCAGCTGCCAAAGAATAGACTTAACTGAAGAAGTGCCCACATGCTGGCAGGGGCCGGCCCACTCTGGCCAGCCAGATACTGCTAGATTGTAATATTTAAGGTCGAATTTCGACCTGTGGTACACAGCTGTGCTGTGGCTCAGTCAGCAACCTCAGAACTCTGAAAAACAAAACAAAAAAGAAAAAAGAAAAAAAAAAACCATGCACCTGTTTCACTGTGAATAGTGAATGTAAAGGAAGAAAGGAAAAACTGAGAGCTTGTTTTATCACAGGTATGAGCTGCTATGATACATGAAGAACATTCCATGAAGTATGTTTTAAAACCTTGTTATATCTGAGAGGCTTTAAAAGCCGATTTAACTGTTTCAGGGCAACCGCGGTACAGACGTGGTCTCTGTGAGACTTCCACCTGACCCCAGTTTTAAGTGGTACGAATGTTGTGCATTTAATGTTAAAGGACAGTCTGCAATAATAAAGTAGCCAACATGGGTGCCCAGCAGTGCTGAGACCTGGCTGCTCTATTGTAAGCTTTGGAAACACAATTTATGCAACAGATGTCCAGATATGATTCTATTTATGGAAAAAGTTTATATGTGTTTTACAAATGGTTTTACCATCTTATATTAAAATGACCTTTTGACAGGTGTGCACTGTTTTGTCTCCAGTGGGCACATACCATACGGATTTTATATGTACATCAGTAGTGTGAATCCACTGGCACAGTGTGTGTAAATGCCAGATGTGGTGAGATTTTATCTTATAAATGTGATCAGATAAATAACTCCTGACAGAAACTGTAAGGTAACCAGCTGAATGTTTGACCTGATGACTGATGTTATATGGTTTATGTTAAATGTATATTCTTTTAATCAATGAATAAAGCATTAAAAAGTGATCATTGAAATATATTTTATTGTATATGAGGCATGAAAACTTTTAGTGTTAAATAAACTGTGGTAATCCTTATATTGTGTATAATCATATGTTAGCTCCTATTGTAACCTGGGTAGTGAAGTTCAAATTTGAGAACATATCATAAAAAGTCTTAAGCTGAATAATTTGGAGGGTTTTAATTTTTTAACTCACTTTGGCAAAATACAAGCTTAAAAGCAAACAATAGACTGGTTAACACAAAATCCAAGTGTGGCTACTTACTTCTGTATGCCAGTATTAAATAGTTCATAAACCCCTACATATTGCTTTAGTTTGGCTTTGCAATCTTACATACTTGGTTGTTGAAGCAAACAGCTGTCATTTATGAGAAAGAAAAGGGCTTCTTTGACATCTTTCCTTTCTTATTCATTCCAGCTACTAACTCTTCTAGACTTTTCATGTTAGAATAATCTGGTGTTCACAAAGAAGAGTCATCATACCTGCTGCTTCCTTGTTAGAGACATCTAACTCCTTTGAATAAATCAACACGTTTATGTATTTAAAGTACCAAATAGTATTCAAAATGTATGGAAAAAGGAAGCCTATTTTTATATATGAGTATCATACAAGTGAAGGTTGATATAGTAAGGCACTACACTGGCAGTCTCAACTTACCTGTTTTCTACTCTAAGCTCTGGCTCTTTTGCTATATGAGCACAGACTCTTCCTTGAGCTTTGGTTTCCTTGTATGTGAAATGAGGGATTGGACTTGGTTTTCTAAAACTCTGATTCTGCATCTAAAGTTTCAACCCTTGTTAGCCAACAGGTTATAGACATGTACAAGATCATCTTTGAACAAATGTATTAAATAAAATATTCTCAAAAGAGAGCTTACTAAACTATATGAAATTTACATATCTAAAATTATTTTCACATTTCCCCCACCACCCTAGGAATGAAAAAGTTGGATTCGGTGAAGCAGGGCTTGGGAAGGAAGTGTACTTACAGTTGAGCACATAGACTCAGAAACTAAATTGCTTGGGGCTTATAGCATGAATCAGACTTGGATCTTTATGAAGCCAGTACCTAAAATGGTGCTAATGGAGCTAACACACAAGAAGGTGTGAAAACCCAGCGGCCACACTGCATTGTCTATATTAGTGCTTCCCAGTGTTTTCATGTCCTGACACAAAAAAACATTGTACAGCAAAATGGTAAAAGCTGGAAGGAATTGGAGCAAAAAAAAAAAAAAAAAAAAAAATCACTTTATTATATAATTGATGAGAAAAATAAAATGCTGATTTAGAAATGGTAAATTTGTATAGAACTTTCAAATAAAATCTTGTCAAGTGTTTTAACTGATAACCTCTTAAGAACTTTAATATTGCCATCAATCAAAAAACCCCATACATGATATTTAAATCTTTTTTTCAGTCATTCAAAACTTATGCAGCTGAATTATACTTAAGAAATTAACTATTCTAAATGTAATGTTGACATTCCTTGCAATGTGAATATTTTTTTTATGTCTTTCAAAATAATGAAGCTCTAATTTGTAGTCACCCATATTTAACCATGCCACTTAATTTAGCTACCACAGAGAGCACATTCCAGCCACCAACAGACAAGTATCTGATTTATAAGAAGGCAATTTGAGGCCTGTGGGGTGCCCTCCTCTTACCTCCAGCTCCCAATCGCCTCACTCTGTGGGGTTTCACGCCTGGGTTTTCCTATCTTCTCTTAGGACATCTGGAGCATGCTTCCCTCTCCCCTTCATAGACTGTTCACACTCCCACCCCACACCTTGCCCACAGTGGACAGCGGAGCACTACATCTGGCAGGGGAGTGGTAAGTGACTGAGTTCGGGGCACACTGTCAGACCCAGTTACCCTCCAGCTGCTCTCCAACAAGAGACTGAAAGCATCATTAAGCAACCAGCCAGGGGTCCCAGCCACCCCAGAATTCAGGTAGCCTGGAGGGGCATCACCTGGTATAATCAATCTCAGGACTAACTTGGCTTGCTGATTGTGGAAAGAAATGGAAGATAGGCTGTGAATGAATTTTCAGGATACCTGAATCATCCTTTGTAAAAGATTTTTTAAAAATAAGGGCAAGATAATATGAAACATCAACAAGGAAGAGATAAACACTGAGAGTTGGAACTTAAATTGGAATATCTACTTTAGAGAGCAAAACTTCAATATCTTGTAAAGCTGAAGTTGTTTGTGCCCTATGACCCAGCAGTTTCACTTCTAGATGTATTTTCTTAATGCCAAGTCTTTGATCATTTTTGTTATAGTCCCTAAAAATCCTAAAGGAATTTTGAAAAACCATGTACTTCTTTGCACAGTTTAAGGTAGACATATAACATTGGCCATAATCTTATATTAAAAGTTTAAATGAACTATAAACATTTTTTAAAATGTATGTAATGAGATCTAAACGCCAGTAATTTGGTACCTCTTACCATCCATTCATTTAAAAAACACTGTAAATTCTTGATCATTTGGAAATGTTACATCACTCGTTTTCCTCCTTAAACCCATATATGGTGTCATTTATCGATTTATTGCCTCATCTCTGAAGGCACACTTCAATATTTGCTCTCCAATAATGGAACTCCTTTAGGTAGTGCACCTTTAAAGTCAGCACGATGTTTTCCCAGTGAGAGGCATGTAGGACATGGTAGAAGGAAGAGGCTCTCCTGTAGTTCTCATGGCAGAGAAAGGTAGGCAGCCTGGGTGTGAAGACTTGCGGTGGAGCCTGCCCCAGCCATGGGCCCAGACACTGTCCCTCTGTGCCCTTTCAGCTTCAGCCTGACCGCCAGCCCTCTTGACACACAAACAAGGTGCGGCACAACCCACATGCTTGAGAGCCTCCTTCCTTCGATGGTACATAGGCTGCCACTGTCCCAATTGGCTGCATACTGCCCATGTGATCCCAAGGGTCCTAGAGGGGCTTGCCACTGCCTGGCCCACTCACTGCTCTGAAGGCTTCTGTACCTGCAGTACCCAGACTCCCACTGCACATCCATGCCACTGGTTGCTTTTTTTCCTGTCCCCCACCTGAAATGAGGCAGGTCCAGTATAAATTCTACTCCTATTTTTTTCATTTTTATAAACACAAGTGCTAAAAAAATACTTTCACGTAAATGAGATGAGAATCTGTTATAATGATGTTACTCATTCTTCAAATTCCTGAGCTTATAAGGCCCCCCCAAAAAACCACACTGGCCTATCGAAACTTATTTTGGTAATTTGGTTGATGCAAATGGAGTTACTTTCTCAGCACTGACACCAATATTTCAAATTGTCTTTTTGGGGTTCCAGAGGTTAGTACACCTTAACATGATGCATTATAGTAAGATCAGGAGTGGGT